AGATATGTTTTTCATTAAACATTTGGATGGGCATTCTAGGCGACAGGTTTTTAGGTTTTGTTGTTTTACCAAACCAATTAACAGGCTTTATCTAAACTTCCTGCAGAACACAATGATTAATCTTTTTGACGGGAAAGTCGTCAAAAAGATCTTAGAGCAACGGCAACAAATGTGGTTCCAGCATGATGGTCAAACTTTTCCACGTAGATGGATAGGAAGAGGCGAACCTGTATTATGGCCTACAAGATCGCTCGACTTAAACTCTTTAGACTTCTTTTTTTAGGGTTATTTGAAAAGATTAGTCATGGTACTACTGTGAATACCATCGAGGAGCTGCAGCTATGAATTAATCAACAATGCCAACAAATTGGAGCCATTGAGGAGATTATAGAAAGAGTTCGATTATCCTTCAGACGAAGATGTCGTGCTTGTTTGGATATGGTTTTTGTTACAAACTTCTTTTATTTGTTTAAAGTTATTATTTTTTCATACCTTCTATACCTCTGAAACCGTTCCTTTGCGGACCCATGTTTTTTAAGACTTTTTTGTTAATTTTGATCCATATTATTACCTTTTAAATATATTACCTACATTCTTTTTTTAACACCTCCTATACATATTTAGAACAATTATATGATGTTTTCTAAAAGAGTTGATATTTGTGTAATACATTTATCTATTTTTTGTGCTCTTTGAATTAGGTGGTTTTAGAGTTAGGTGGGGTGTGGGTGGTTTTTTACCTAAGGGTCGGGTCAGCCCCTTTTCTTTACAATTGCAGCAAGATATAGAAAAGGGTATAACTCCAATTTTTTACACTGGCAAAGTAATCGATTCAACTACGTTATGTAGGGTTGTGCAAACGAGTTGTGTGGTTAAATTTTATTATATCAATCTTTACCGATTTCAGCTAATTCCATTATCATTAACAAGCTGCTTAACCCATTTAGTCCCACGCTGCTTTATATTAAAACAAATCGGTTTTTTTATAATTTTCCTTGTGATAAGATGGAATGAAAAGTATAAAAATGTAGACAGGCGTTTGAAAAAAAAAATGTTTTATGAGATGGTGCAAAAATGCACCACTGGTAAAATAAACGAACAACACAAAAATATTTTAGTAATAAATTAGTCATAAATAAATAATAATAGTAATACAACATAATACTAACAAATACCAACTTTAGTATGAAGTTTAATCTAAAATAGTTTCTGATAATACAAAAGGTGATGTAATCGTTATATCTCATCATACATCTCATATTGTGTTTTTGCACCATTGATGTTTTAAGTCGTTTTCAGAATTCATATTTTTATTTCGCGTTTCAAGATATATATCAGGAAAGTAAGCACTAAAAACTTGCAAATGTCAAAATTTTAATAGTTATTTATATTACAAGTGAGCTAGAAACATAATCACTGTACGAGTGTGGAGAATTGCACGACGACGTCATAGACCGAGTCGCGTAATCACATGAGTACTGTAATTATGCTCTAGCCCACGTGTGGTATACAACATTTTATCTACGACTGCTAAAAATTACTTAAAAATCAATTTCATATTTACTCATCTGGAATAAGTGTTTTGAAATGTAAAAACGTGACAATTAATGTTTATAATAAATAGTATTGTTTCTCTTTAAATAAGAAGCACTTTTTCTTTAGTGCTGTTGCTCGATTCAATAAATTAAGTCTGTTCTGATTGGGCTAAAAATGCATTACGTAATGAAACCAGTGCGGTAATGTACTTCATTACGTAACTCAAATCACCTCAAATGAGTGTGGTAATGATGACTTATCCAAGCAGTCGTAGATAAAGAATTTTATGCACTAAAAATAGTTTTATTTCCATTGTATGCTTTGAACAGAAATTTTCAATAGAAAAGAATTGATGCAAATATGGTTTAAATAGCAAGAATTTTGAAATATTTTGATATGTATAGTATTTTATTTTCATTGGCCACTGCTGACTTGAGAATTTTGCTAAGATGGCTTGAAAGCAATAAACTAACCCTTAACTTAGCAAAAACGAACTTTATAACCTTCTCTACATACAATAGTACATACACAACCGTCAGTGGACGGTATGGTGATGCATGCTGATTCATGTCAGTCAATTGATTGCCATTATCCAAAGATTCATAAAGTAAGGTCTGTAAGATATCGTGGTGAAACACTGGACCAGAATTGTAGGTGGGATGAGCACGTCGAAAATTTTTAAGATTATACTATTTTGCGATGGTTGAATCAGTTATGAGATATGGTATTATTGGTTGGGGTGGAGCTTCAAATATTTACATTGGCAGAATATATATATTGCAAAAGTTAATATTAAAAGTTTTGCTTAATGTGGGTGTGAGGTTCCCCTCGAATAAAGTCTTTCAGAAGTCGAATGTCATGTCAGTATACATAATTTATATCCAATCTACTCTACAGTATGTATTAAAACCACCGACCACTATGCGTATGGATATTCAACCAGCAAGGGTTTCTAAAGCGATCGGTCAAAAGTGCTTCATGTTCTATGCACCAAAAATATATAACTTGTACAAGAGTTTTATATCAGTACATTACCAGTGTATAAGCTCGAGAAACACCAACTTTGTTGTGAAGGAATGGTTAAAAATCTTAACGAATATTGGCAAATTAAGTAATATTCTACAATAGCATTCCCTGTAATCATTTTGTAAGTATCGTGTCTTATTTTCTATATGTAAGTGTTTTCTTCAATTTCTCTTAATTGCTGGTTATGGATAATTATGAGTGTACTACATTCCCTGAGCTAAAGTAAATTGTAAGCCTATAGGTCACTAAATATTATAAATTTGTTGAAAAACCATTCACAACTCTGTTCAACAGAATTAGTGGTATACTCTCAGTTTACGGACGGTCAACAAGGTTAAGGTATAATTGCCTCATAATTTGACTGTGTGAATGCTGGGATTTACCTTTAATATTGTTTCGTTAATTATTTAGTTATTGGTTTGATTTAAACTATTTTGAATTAGTGAATTTCTTTTTATTTTGATGTATATTATATTGAAAACAATAATATATAATGGTTATTATTATTATAGCCTAAGAACCTTATAGTGTTATTGTACAAACAGCTAGCACCTTCAAATCTGGAAATATATGGCTGTTTTTATTTCAACATAAAATACATATAGTATTGTGAACGTTTTTTTACATCCAACAAGTTAAGCGTCGGATATTTCTTATTCACAACTCCACACAAATATAAACTTACTACACATTATATTGACGCACTATGTCCATAAACGACTATTTCTAGGGAATTCACCGAATAAATGCGTCTAAACTGGTTTCTGATAATACGAAAGATGATGTAATCGTTATATCTCATCATACATCCCAATAGTGTGTTTTTGCACCATTAATGTTTCAAGTCGTTTTCAGAATTCATATTTTTATTTCGCGTTTCAAGATATATATCGGGAAAGTATGCACTAAAAACTTGCAAATGTCAAAATTTTAAAGAATTTTATGCACGAAAAATAGTTTTATTTCCATTGTATATTTTGAACAGAAATTTTCAATAGAAAAGAATTGATGCAAATATGGTTTAAATAGCAAGAATTATGAAATATTTTGATATGTATAGCCTAACAACCTTATAGTGTTATTGTACAAACAGCTAGCATTTTCAAATCTTGAAATATATGGCTGTAATAGTATATTAAAAAACAAGTTTCGTAAGACACGTTTGAAATGCACGAATTCAAGTTGAAAAACGAGTTTTTTAATGAATGAGTGCTTTAAGTCTTATGAAACGCGTTTTTATCCTTTTTTTTCTCAAAAATAAAATAAATTTTGACAATGTAGGGAAATAGGTATGTAGCAGTTGGTAACACTTGAAAATAGAAATTTGAATTGACAATTAGAAACTGTCAAAACACAAAATGTATTCATCTGACAAAAATGTTTCATGTACACCTCCCAAAATAAGAGAAATTGCTCAGAGTTCAATGTCCTCATCATTGTGAACCTTGTATTCGATGCTAAGAACGTGTTTAAACATCCATAGACAAACATTGTCACATTGACAATTAGAGAAATTAATGACCCAATGTCACCAACTTGAACTGGTTCCATAAAATGTTACTAAAATCTCATTACAGCATCCGATGGTGTAAGGAGTCTCATTACAGCACCCGTTTGAGTGCTGTAATAGCTTTCATTACCATCGCGAATTACAAAAAATAATTTTAAAACGGTAGTGCGTTTTCACACTAGTAGTGGCACTAAATGGGTTAAAAGATACTTTGATTTTTTTTTTGTTTTCATTGTTTATATCAAAACTCAGCAAATTGATTTTTAGCGAAAATTGATAGGAATTAAGATTAGCATGATGTTCTGATTCTTTGTAATAGGCACTTAAAAATCTAATGCTGGTTGCTCGGTTCCTTTTGACATTGTCATAACAATTTACAGGTAATATTTCTGCAATTTAACCACGCAGGAGGTACACTATATACAGGTGTTTATTTGATACTGAATTCCCAATATTTGGAAATCTGGAAAAAATCACTGAACTACTTAACAAATATTATGGATTTGTGCAAAAATTGACTCGACCGATATTTTAGTGGATAACTTGGAAAATAGTGAGTATCCTATAAATTTTGCCTTGTATAATAAAGTTACATTTTTATTTCAACATAAAATACATATAGTATTGTGAACGTTTTTTTACATCCAACAAGTTAAGCGTCGGATATTTCTTATTCACAACTCCACACAAATATCTAGTGGTTCTCCACACCATAGTACTTTCTAAAACAGTTAACAAGCGCGTGTATGAGAGAGATGAGAATCGTAGGCGTGGAATTGGTGAAGGCGTGGTTTTGTAGGAAAGCGCACGGGATTGGCGCATGTAACCAAAACCGGTCCGCCAACAGTCGCAGGGACTCTAGGAACGTTTTGTAACCTTACCTCGTCACGGTTACTGCTACTGCGTAACCGGCGCTAGTCCAATTTGAAACGTTTCCCCGGTCGCATCCGGAGATTCCCATCCGGACCCGCCGCCGGCACCCGATCTGCTAACCAAGAAGACCACTTTGACTAGGAAAACAAATTATAATCTCGGAAAACGATGACGGTGCCCGGATCGGGGGTGGATATGTCCACGTTGATGTCCCAACACCCGGTGCTCGGTGCCATTCCGCCTGCGTTCTTCCTCAGAGCTAGCGAACGTTATCAAAGAACACCAAAGTGTGCGCGGTGCCGCAATCACGGCGTCGTCAGCGCGTTAAAGGGTCACAAAAGATACTGCAGGTGGAGAGATTGTGCGTGTGCAAAATGCACGTTGATTGCGGAACGACAAAGAGTTATGGCAGCTCAAGTTGCTCTAAGACGGCAACAGGCGCAAGAAGAAAACGAAGCCAGAGAGCTTGGAATACTTTTTCCAACACCAGCTAGTTTAGCAAGCGAGAATCCTCCGGCGGAACTTAACGTCAGCCAACAGTTAGGTCAAAGAAACAACTTTCAAGGTGATGCTGGAGGAAACGGTGGTGGAGATCATTCTGAACCAAGTAGTCCAGGTAAACAAAGTTTTCCAAATCAAAATATTTTTAAAACAATTTCATGTTCATTTATTCCCACTTTACTATTTTGAAGTAGGGATTTGGAAAAGGTATTATTTCCTTAAGTGTTTTCTGTGGCATGCGAACGTATTTTATATTCGGATATAAGGAGTTTGAGATATTCAACCCCCTTTTCTGACTGAGAAGGGGTCTCGTTAACGAGTCCTGTATCGTTTTCGAGAGCCATTAGAGTTGGAGTTGAAACGCGCGATCAATTAAATGCAAATACTTTCGCACGTGGCCGGATGATTGTTCGAACGGAAGAATCGGCTTAATGATTTTAATCAATCCCAACAAAAAAAATAAGTAGTGGCAAGAGTATCTTGTAAATTGAATAAGTAAAGGAGTTTATTCAAAACGAAAGTTTAGATTTTTAAACAAAAAATTTCTATTAGCATTTTAAGTGTATCTATGGTTTTGATGGAGTGGTCAAGAAAACACTAAAGATTTGTTTGCTCAACCATTAGCGGCGGGAAATGTTACCGAAGGAGACGAGTTGCCCTCTAATTTAAATAGACATTAGAAACTTGTGTCATTATTGACACTACTAGAAATAATAACTCTTAATGGGTCGGTTATTGAAAACGTATTTTTTGCATACACCGAGGCTATAAAGATAAGTTTAAATTTAAGTATAATTTAATATAAAAAATGAATTTGTTGAGGTGAAAAAATAACGAGTACTCAAAATCATCGAGGGGTTAGATTTTTTGCTCTCTAATAACAATATATCGGGAATTTCCAGAGTTTTTTCGCTAATTACGTGTAGAAAATCCGAGAAACCGAAATAAAGTAATTGGTTCCGCTTAAATGAAACTTAAACCACGATAATCCGACCGTTGTCGTTTAAATATTGACTAACTCTTGGGCACCGTCGCCGTCGGAATAAGAGGCGTCGCGACGCCCCGATGGGGTTAAAAGAAAATATCGCGACGAAGGTAATGAACTGGAAAAAGGCCGTGGAAACGGATAAGTCGTGTTCGTTTTGTGTCGACGTGCGTATATATACTCGATGGAGAATAACAAGGGGGTTGAAAAATCCTGCGGCGTCGGTAATTAACTCTTGTGTACCTTCTGGGGGAGGTTTCAAGTTGTTTTTGCTCGTTTGGTGTTTGAAAGTTTTGTGAAAAAAACGATATAGGAGTTAAAACACACGAGAAATAGTATATAGAGATTCGTTGAGATAGATTGTCCTTTGATTTCGAATACTTTTGTGTAATCGGATACTCCAACACTTTGCAATATACATTGCAAAGTTTGCAAAGGAGGGATTCTTTTCCGGCTGTTTTATTAGCTCATTCTTAAAGTAATGTTACACCTTAGTGTTCAGATAAGTAAGGATTTTGTAATCCTATACGGGTCAAACTTGAGTTCTTAACCTGATTAGAATAAGAATCTTGCGAAAATATATATACATAATTGAATATATTTGTAGCTTTTTGGGCATGGTTTGTGTTAGATGAAATTTTATAAGTCAATCAATTTTAAGAGACGAAAAAGTATTTCAATTTATATACAGGGTGTCCCGCAACGATTATACAATACTGCATCAGCGTATTCTCTGATCGAAAACAGACAAGAAAAGTCTAATAAACATAGGTCCGAAAATGGACCAATTTCGAGATATTCAAAGTTTTAGTTTCATAAGCTTTAGATAAGATTTAGATGCAGTAATTATATGATTACCATGGTTACGATGGTTAAGACAAAGTTTAATAAATAATAAGATAATATTAAGTTAATTAATACAGTTCATTAATAATTTAACACAACAAGTAACAAGGATTATCGAAGAAAATCGTTCAACCAGCATAAATACAACGAATATTTAACAAATTGGAAAAGATTCATGTCATAATAAATGTTCAATATGCGCACCATTTACTTCTAAACACAAACGGGTACGTTTTCTAAATGAACTTCTAATGCGTTCAAAGATACCAGGAATTTGTTTTACTGTGTCAAATGCGTTACTAATTTTATTCTTCAAATCCTGCACATTTTGAACGTCTTCAGAATAAACAATTTGTTTTAAATGTCCCCAAAACCAAAAATCTAACGGATTTAAATCTGGTGAACGAGGTGGCCACGGGACAGGACCTCCTCGGCCAATCCACTTATTGCCAAATCTGTTATTTAAGTATGCTCGAGTAGCGCGTGCATAATGTGCTGGTGCTCCATCGTGCATAAAGTAGCAATCTTCTAGAATTTGTTGAGGTAATTCATCAAATGCCTCTGTAAGGTCATTTTGTAAAAAATGTATGTAGGCATCGGCTGTCAATCTCTTTGGAAGAAAAAATGGACCTAATAACTGATCACCTATAACTCCAGCCCATACATTAACACTGAATCGCCACTGATGATGAGTTTCTAGTATTGCATGGGGATTTTCATCGCTCCAAACGTGCGCATTATGAATATTAAAAATTCCGCTTTGAGTAAATGTTGCTTCATCCGTAAATACAATGTTTATGGGAAAGTCGACGTTTACTACCTCTTCCTGTATGGCCCACCTACAAAAAATCTCTCTTTTTTCGCCATCATTTTCTGTTAGAGCTTGAACGGTGTTGTAATGATAAGGATAAAGCAACTGCTCCCTTAAAATGCGGTGAACGGTTGTTTTGTTAATGTTTTCTTGTGCAGAAATTCTTCTAATGCTGGTTGAGGCATTTTCATCGACTCTTCTCAAAACTGCTTCTTCTAATTCCACCGGCCTTGTGTAATGTCTCTCCGTGGAATGGCTGTGGGTTACGCTTCCCGTTTCTTTTAATCTGAGAAATAGTCTGCTAAAGGTGTGACTATTAGGCAATCGTCTGTTCGGGAACCTTTGCGCGTAATGACGAGCTGCTAACGACGCATTTCCATCAGCTAGTCCGTAACAATACACAATATCCGCCATCTCTTCCTTGGAGTAATTAATAGGAGCCATACTTAATAGTTTTATTAAATTAAATAGAAAAAATAATTATTTCGTGAAGTATTACTATTATTTTTTGATTAGACAACTTATCGTAATCATAGTAACGACTTAATTATTATAAAAACAAATTTAAATTCATGATGTTAACAATATCAACTTATGAAACTAAATCTTTGAATATCTCGAAAATGGTCCATTTTCGGACCTATGTTTATTAGGCTTTTTTTGTTTATTTTTGATCATAGAATACGCTGATGCAGTTTTGTACAATCGTTGCGGGACACCCTGTAATTAATACAACAAACTTAGTTGAATGATTTATTTTTCTAATCAAATATTGTTTTCGGCAGCATTTACTCTACGAGATTCAAACATTTGCTCAGGAAACGACACCAACAATTAAATTAGTTGTATTATTTTGTGTTAAATTTGCGCTATCACTTCCTAGACGTTTTTTCCGACTGGAAATAAATCTTGCATTCACCCCCATAAATAAAAGTGTAGGGGGTGAGCCTGTCAAGTGATGGAGGCATCTGCTCCTGGTCCAATTTAAGTAGCTAACAACATGAAGTTTAGGGGGTAAAATAGGTTCAATAATAAAATAGGTTCAATAATAAAATAAGCGACGATTCCAGTCCAGACATTAACGTTGAATTTCCAATGGGATTTATAAAGACGTGAATCATGTGACTTTTATACTAGGTAGTCTTGGCCGTTCTAATAGGATCATATTCTTTAAAACAACATTTTTTGAATCAGAGCACCACCGAGAAACTTCTAGGTTTTTAGTAATGATAATCATTTTTTCATTCAATTATTTTTTTACTTGATTGGTTTTTCATTCGATGATGAAATTTGAATAAATATTCAGTGCTGTTTCGGGGATTTACTGACTTCTCTGAATCTCTCATTTTAATATTTAAATCAAATACAACCTCAAATGATTAATAGAATCCACTTAATATTAATAGTTTTAAAAAACATATTTCAAAGAAAATATTTATTGCATATTGCTGATTGTTGATCATATTGCTGGTTAACCTACTTCTTCTGTCCTTTGTTAACTCGCCTGTTTTTGAGAAAGTTTATACATCTCCTTCTTGGACTCCTAAAACTGTAAAGTATTCAGTTTCTTATCTACCAATGCTAGGTCTAGGTACAGTTTTATTTGTGCTTCATCAGAATGTATGGGTGTGGATGCGCTGAATATCTGCTTAGCCTTTATATCAAAATGCTCCCACAGTAAACATGCTTGGTTTTTAGATAAAATGCATTCCAAGTTCATTGTGTATTTTAGTAAATATAACCAAAAAGATGAATGACTTTCTTCTGGCATGACTAGAGAACATAAAAAGAAATTAATTACAAAGACCCAAGTGTTAACATCACAAGGTTACCGTCACAAATTAATGATGAAAAAGAAAACGTTGGTGACATATGTTGCGAAAAAAACTTAACATTACTGATAATTCTATTACAATTTAAATCTATAAGTAATCGTTATCCACTTTTTATTTCATTTCACTTGTACTTAGCTCTAAATTCTGTAACAACAAATTATTTAACAAAACAGACCGATTTTCAAACATATAAATGCGACTTACTTTTCCGTTAAACTATTGGACGAAACAACACAGAAAATTCTTGGTTGTTGAAATCTAAAATTTACATTGAAATACACTCTACTCTATATTATAAGTCATAAAAATTGTTATCGAACCTTGTATTACATTAAAAATGTTATATTTTTTCTCTCGGCAGCTCGGAAGTCATAGCTTCAATAGATTTTAATATACATATGCGGTCTTTAATTAGTGCCCAGTCTTCCTATGATAAAAATGAAGGTGATCCGGGAAAATTGGATATTGCTGCTGACAACAGAACTTTTAATTCTTCTAGTCTTTACATCATTTCCAAGCAAGAATTCCATCTTGTTGGAACTTCCTGTTTCACTTTTAGCAGAGAAAGTTTCATTTGATACTGCATTTTGGCCAATTCACTAGATGCTACAGTGCTTTTTTTAAAATGACCCACAATA